AAACTGAGTGGAACAATGTCTACTTCTTCATCACTATCAGGTACTTAATCAATACCTCTACGAGACATTCCTAATCAAATACAAATCAAATTAAATATTTCATTCATATTGTGTGTCAAATTTTTAAATTTCAAAATATTCAGTATAATATCACAACTTTTAACATTGCAATAAATACATATATTCAATTATAAAAATCAATTTAAATAGCTTTATCATTTAAAAAAATTTTAATTGGGCCACTGGAACGGCCCGTTCTAATTTCAGAACGGGCCATTCTCATTGTAACAAATGTGTTTGTTCTGTTAACCCAGAACGGGCCGTTCTGAATTTCAGAACGACCCGTTTTGACTTCAGAACGGCCCGTTCTGATTTGAGAACGTGCCGTTCTGAATTCACAACGGCCCGTTCTGATTTGAGAACGGTCTGTTCTGAATTCTGAACGACCCGTTCTTAGGGAACTAATCACAGGTAAATTTTTCATTCAGAACGCCGTGTTCTAAAAAGAGAACGGGCCGTTCCAAACCAAATCTTACCAACCTTTCTTTAAAAACAGGAACGGCCCGTTCTGAATACGTGCTTTCTCAGAACGGCCCGTTCCAGGTGTTTCATTCTCGTTTTCAACTTCAAACTAAAAAAAAAATATCTTTTAATTTTTATACCACTCTAATATACAAACCTAACAATGATACATACATAGAACATATAAAATTTAAAATTTAAAATTACAAATATTTAAAAACCCTTACTTACTTGAAGCACCTGGACCACCAAATAAAAAATACGTTGGACCACAAACCGAACAAATGAATCTTGTGCAACCCAATACATTTAACTAATTTGATAGCGCCTGGCCCTCAGGCATTTTTGTAAATCTGTACTGATGTGTGTACAAGGCGCCCAGGGGGAGGGCGTTTTCTCACCCACACATGGCAAAACGCCTGGGGGAGGTGCTTTCAGTGTGTGCCACATCAGCACACTTGGTGCCTGGGGGTGGGGCGCCATCAACAATCTTCTGCCACGTGTACAACACGCCTCCCCCCCAGCGTTTTCTTTTGACCGTGCCACATCAGCTTACATGGCGCCTGGGGGGGAGGCGTTTTCTAAAAAACGCCCACCCCCAGGCGTTTTCAGTGCCACGTGTGTGCTGACTTGTCCAAAATCACCTATTTCGGTAATTAGTTTTTTTTTTAATTTATTTCATGTATTTTTAATTTTTTTTTTAATTTACTGATGTCAAAAAGCCAAAATTATCAATCACGTAACTATGACTTTCGTTTTTGTTGTTTTTTTTCTCCTTATTTTTTATAAAAGCCTTTTTACAAACAAAATAAGTACTTCTTATTTTTTATACATGGTTCTTTATTTTTTTTTAAAAAATGGTTTTTATTTTTAAAAAATAATTCGTATATACTTCTTAATGAATTATTATTTTTATTAAAGATATTTATTTAGAAACACTTCTTTTTAAATTTAAACAAACAAAACTTATATCTTAAATTGCTTAAATATAATACATTATTATTCTATCAATTTATTCTCAATGGATAAATTAATACGAAAATTTTTTAACTTAGTTAACAGTTTTTAATAAAATTATATTTTACTAAAAGATAATTTTAATCTATAAAAAATTTGAAATTTTATTATTATTTTTTAAATATATAAATTAGAATAAACATCTTAGATAATGATATTTGAGGGTGATAGTGTTTTTTGTTATTTATTCGATAAAATTTTTATTTTTTTTTCTTAATCTTGTATTTTTAATATGTTATTTTCATTTTCATCTCTAATTTTTTTTTATTTAAAATATCTATAATTAAAATAAATTAATATCATAAATTTTAAATATAATTTATATGATCAAAATATTTTTA